GGGGGGGGGGGGGGGGGGGGGGGGGGGGGGGGGGGGGGTTCTTTTTGGTTTAATATGTAACTTTAATGCCCAGGGAACGAAAAAAAAATCCGAAATATGTAATGGTTCCTTTATTAACACTGCAAATACACATTTCTAGTAGTAAATGTCCTCTGATAAGCATGGAAATGCTATTTGCGCATGTATGCACAGTGTTACAAAAGTGATAAGAGCTTGGAAAACTGGGAATAAATAAATTAAAAGAAATGATAAAGACTTATCAAAAACGGTTCAGAGGAGGAGCTGCTAAAATATTTCTGGAGGTGAAAGGGTTATCTTACAGGAACAGTTCTTGTACTACTAGCCCTGATGAAACGGCAATGGCGAAACGTTGGCAAAAATAGCTTATTATTATCTGGAGAGTAAATGTCGTTTTTTTATAATTTTACTGCCAAGTTCTCTTAATTTGAGAAAAGAAGAGTACGGGGTATTCTTATTGAAGCTTACAAGATTATCTGGGGGATCGACAGGATAATGGCGTCGGATTTCTTTGTACTATATTCTGAAGTTTAAGATTTGGAAGAGACGAGCCGGGCACCAGTTAAATGTTTTATTTTTTATAAGAGGGTGATTGACTTATGGAATGAGTTGCTGTCGGTAATAGTAGTAAAAGGCCAGCCAGCACTTTACAAGAGCTTAAGAAATTAATCGATTACGTCCTAGAAACTAGAGTGAGTTTAAGTTTCAACTTTTCTGAAAAACCAATGAGAGTAATTTCTTGAGTTTGTAATGTTGAATACATATTTTATTGTACCCAATAAGCTGTGATTGGTAACACTGTAGTATAAATGGTATAGGATACATTTTCCAATATGAAGAAAAGTTTTCATATTCCAATGTACATCACTGTAACATGAATAAAACAGGATGCTAAATCTAGCTGCACTGTGAAATAACGAAAAGGTGTGTGTATAAATAACAACTATACTAAACAACAGTCTAAAACGTTTTATAGTACACCTACCTAAGCATAAAAAAAGTTAATGTAATCTTGTTAGTCTTAGTTGTCCTATCGAGGGTGGGAGCTACAACAGTTAATATAATGTTGTTTATATATATATAAAGTTCAACGTGGAAGTTAAATATTATCTTTAAAATATTCATCTAGTCGAGAAGGTCAAATTGCTGATCACACTCTTTTTTTTCTTTTTTAATAGGTTGATTGCATTTTTATTGATATTTTTACACGGGAAATACGAAAAAGGTCATAAAATTTCTGTATCAGACTAAAATTAATTCTGAGGCAAATTTTTTAAGGTAGGTGTGAAATTTTATTTGACCGCCCATATATATATACTCTGCTAATGAATGAATATTATTTCTCAATGACTAACTGGCATGTTTACACTTACAGATTACCAAACAGCTTACCATCACTCACTGCTCCTCCAAGTGGATCGTTGTTATCTCTGATTTTTGTCGAAGTGGTTAGAGGATCAATCTGGTTATGTTCTCTGTTGGCAAGGTAATACTTTGGGAGAAATTCATTTCCATCATAGTAGGGCTTTTCTTTTATATTGTTTTGAAAACCACTGACGTCGTTGTTCATTATCATGCCTAAACGCCAATTCTGTAATGCATCCATAATTCCATTTTTATCCAGTCTACCATTTCTTCGTTGTCCCAGAACCTGTGCATCTGCAGAATTTGAAGAATTGGTGGGGATGTTTATACGCAGTTCACTTTTGAAACCTCTCATACCACGCAAACGTTCACTATGACTATTCGGTTGCAGCCTTGATGTTCAGTCTGTAGCTGTGGCATACTGACAGCTCGTTGTTGCACTATAGCGTTGTTTGGACGGACGGTTGCGGTGTTGGCGCTTTTGAGGTGTTCGGACTGTCTTTGCTGAGGCATAGTTTCTGGCGAGACGCTGTTTGTTCGTATAACTGCCGCTGGCAATAGCTTAGTTTTGGGGGCCTGTCTTCTATCTATGTCGGGAAGGGGTACTGACGCGGGCCGGTGAGACATTGAAGAATCTTGTCGGGAAAAATATGGTAGTTTTGAGCCTTGAAAAACACCTTGCTTGTTCTGTGAGGTAGGTTCATTCGAGTTATTTGATCTATGACGAAGCAAACAAATTTTAAGACCAGCACAAAAACGTTCAAAACTCAAGTATCCATTAGGTGGAGTGACTTTTCGTAAACTTTCTAGAACACCTCTGGGCAACTCCTTTGTGCCATTTTCTTGCCATCGCGATTCAATGTCAGTGAACTTCACAAATCCTGTCTTCCTATCGTCTAATATTTCAAATAATGAGCGCATCGCTGAAATAAACGACTTGGGAAGTCCATCTAAAGTTGATTTAGAATGATGATTGTTTGACATGTTGACGTCATTACCTAAACTAGTTAATATTTGAATACATCAAATCGAATCACTTTCTTGAACGTAACAAACTACAGGTGTCTCAAAGTGCTTCACTAAGAGCATGATGACCATTAACGAATAACGTACAGGTGGATAACACACACTGAGTAGGGCAAACACTGATTGGTTTTCTTGAAACAGCCTTAGTTAGAGAGTAGGGTATATTATTGGTCACGCCTTTCAATCCCATAATCCTAGTTTTCATATTTTGTGACGCAAAGTTTTGAAGTGAACTTAAACATATATTTAAACTTGTGAAAATACGAATGTTGTATTTCATTTGGAGTTTTAATTTTATGGTGGAAGTTAAACTCAACAGATTTTTTATTTAGCTATAACTAAAAGTAAAATTTAAATAACATGTTAATTTCAAAAGAAATGAGCAACCTAAAATGTTAATAACACTACCTTTGTGAAGTTTGCAAACTAAAAATAAAATAAAAGTCTCAGTCATATTTTTACAATTAATCTTTGTATTATTTGTTTTTCAAAGCAAAGCTATACAATAGGCATTTATATATATGACTTATTTATAAATAAAATATATGCTAACAGTGTTTATCAGCTTTTGTACAAATAGCCATTAGTGTGAAAATATTGTAATATACTTTAAAAAACTAACATTCTGCTATTTTGTCAATTTTTACCATCATGGAAAATATGAAGCTTTCACTTGTCTGGCAGCTTCAAAAATGACTTTCTCTCTCACACAAACACTCTTGGCCATTGCGTAAACAGGCTTTTATGGCCTTCGGCCGAGAGATGGCTGTGATAAGAAGAAGCAAATGAAATTTAAGAGTTCAAAGTCCTGTTTATATGAGTGTACTACTAATACTACGACTTCTAGTGGTATTATGGCAATGTTGTTTTCAGATACCGCTCCCGTTTAAGTTATTAAGAATATATAATTAACAGATACCAAGTGAAGCGTTGTGTGTTTTGGGCTTGATAACGCAGTTAGTAAGTTACTAAATCAGTAGTCCGAATTTTTCGAGAAAGTCTTAGGTTCAAGTCCCAATATTTTCATCGTTAGTAACTTTTACTAGATAATTGACACATTTCTTATCCTCATATTCCATCCTCGCCTCCTGCACCGAGATAATTATTAAGTGAATTAATTCACAGCTACAGTTTATGTTTATATATAGTTAATTTTATTATATTTCATATTCATTATTAAATGTCCTCAGATTTCATATTCCAATTTACAGAGAACAGTTATGCATTTGCCATATTTCATAAACATTCAATATTTAATCTGTATTTATTACCTGGCGTATAGCCCGTCAAAATGACGGGGCAAGTACTACCACCCTACCCATAATATATTCTAACCTCACATTTCATAGCTAACTGAAATAAATAAATTTTGCACTTATTTCTTTCCTTCCTTTGATCTCTTTTTATATATTTTAGAAAGATTATAATCTTGTATAATTTTTTTAGGATTAACCCATCAACATTTAAAAAAATTGACAACTTTGAAGACAATGTTAAAGATATGCAGGGAAGAATTTTACATTGATTCCATTCATAAGTAACAATACTTTGCTCATTTGCATCATGTTTTGGTGAATTTTTTATTATAAATAATATTGTTTGTGTATTTTTACGTAGTATAGTTATTTGCAGAATTTCAAGTGTTTTTGGACCAGTTGTAAAATGTGATTGTGTGAGATTACTTAATGTGTATGGATCAAAATATTTGTATATAAACACACTCATTGTAATGCAATGTGAATGATTCTACCATAAAACCTTTGAAAGGCAGAAGGACATTTCTCATCATGGACAAAAGTAGTTTCAGTGTGTACTGCTGATAAATGTTTATTTTGGGCTTCTTAAATTCATGTATAGTAAATATATGTTTTTGAACAAAAAAAGATATTTACATGAAATCTTAGTTAATTTAGTAACAATAATGAATTATTATTATTACTATTAATTAAAGAAACTACAGACTTTCCTCCCAAGAGTTGGAATAACACATGAATATTATATCTGTATTATAATTATTTTTTGGTATGTCTTTAATCAAATAAATGGCAACTAGATGGCCCAAAATAAGGTGTATACATATTTGTATATTATTTATTTATGTACCAGAACCTTCAGAAACATTAATAATCCACCAAGGTTAACAAGCCTTGTCACAAATGGCTAGATCTGAAGTAGATTTTGTTGTTTACTAGACAATTTTTACTTACCCAAGGAAAGAATAGTGTTTATTTCTGACGCTTTTGAATATTCTACCCAGGAAATTAGAAAGCTTAGTAAATCTATTTAACTTAGTTAAGATATATATAAAGATACACTAAATAAAAGTTTGTCCTATTGTAAGCTTGCCATAGTTTTCCCAAATTATTATTAGTTTTTGTTTAGTAAATGAACACAGTCAGCTGGCTAGTATGATTCTTTCATTGTCCGTATATCTGTTCAATTTCTCAGGTTACTGCCGGATATTTTCTTACATAATATGAATTTTATAACCAATAGATTAAAGGCCTCTTATTTTTTTGTGCTGTATTCTGAAGAGAGAACACAATCTTAAGATTTTGAAAAGACAGGCTAAGCTCCAGTTAAGGCAGTTTTAATTTGCCAATAGGGTGATTGGCTTGTGGAGTGAGTTGCTGTCAGAAGCAGTCGAAGCTGGCACATTACAATAGTTTATGAAGAGGATAGATGATTTCCTAAAAGGTAAATTTTTACTTTTCTCAAGTGTGGGTGTGCAGAAACAACTTGTAAGAGGATCAGATGGTTCCTTGTTGTCTGTATGTGTGTTTGTGTAATTAAATTTTGAAGGAAAAATCCTAAAGTTTTGACCTCTATAAGAGTACAGACTTTGGTAACTTAATTTTAAATTAGTAATCATACTGTGTCTAAAATATTCAAGTAAACAAAATTGACATAAATGTCTCCCTACCTCAATTAATTAAATACATAGAAATACAAATAAAAATTAAGTAAACAAAATAGCCAGCATTTGTTGCATGTTTTTATTTATTATAGTGTTAAAAAATCTTAAGCACTCAGCCTCTCTCACTTTCTATCCAGTACTACTATATAATTTTTATAGGAGCCTGGTTCTAGACATCTGGCACAGCGGTATGTCTGCGGACTTACAATGCTAGAAACCGGGTTTCGATACTCGTGGTGGGCAGAGCACAGATAGCCCATTGTGTAGCTTTGTGCTTAACTTCAAACAAACTAGACATCTGACCACCTGGTGGAGATGTCTCTCCTTATACCCAATTCATCAAAAACTTTTACTTCAACTTTCATACCCTACAGGTACAAGCAAACTACTACTCTTGGTCCTGTGTAACTCAACTGGACAGTTAGAAATTAATGTCATATCTCTAAAGCCTAGCCTTTTTTTCTCCAGTTTAGTTGTAATGGTTACCATACAAGATCAATTTAAAAAAAAGCAACTAAAACAAAAAATTACATGTAAGTTCAAGTATTAAAATCTTACAGATTTGGTCTAAAGATGAGTCATTTTAATTAATGCTCAGATGACTGTAACATGTCTAATTTCTAAAAATTATTTTTTTTAGATGTCTTCAGTCACAAAATCAAAAACTCAGTATTTGGACGGGAGATTATCAGAATGCTAGCTTATAGAATTTTTACCAAATTGTTCTGTTTATAATGCTAAGAAGTTTTCAAACCTGATTTTTTGTGAAATGTTTATATTTCATATATTTTATGATTACATTGCTGGTAAATGATAAATAAATTAAAAGGACAGCCTTGAATGTCCAAATAGTCCCTTGCTGTCCTCTTAAATGCTTGTAAACTGCCGATATCCACTTTTTCCAAATGCAATTCATTCCATAAGTTAATCATCTAGTTAGAAAAATTAAACTAACTTAATTGAAGCCTAACCTATCTTTTTTACAAGTCTTAAACTTGTGTCCTTTTTACCTATGTTGTAAATATCAATACTATCATCTCTTACTAATCTTTTGTCAAGATAAAATAAATTGCGAGAGGTCTTAACCTAAGACAACCTTTTTAACTTCAGAATCATCTTAGTTTCCAAGACCAAAGCTGGACACACTGTGGTACAGGATGGTACCATGAGTTTGCTTCATCCTTAGTTAATATTATTTTAAGTTCGTTTTGAACATTGTGGGTCATTCAAATAAACAATTCAACTCCTCCTCCTTACTTTAAGTGTGCATGAAACCACAATCAACCTTAATTATTGTTAAACATGTTTTCTTGCATAAAAGATGGCTGTTGCTTCATTCATGTTGTTCCAAGATAGACATCTCTCATTTCAGTCGCTAAATTTGGTAATGGCTCGGGTCTATGCTCAAGCAAAAGTGATATGCATTTTTACTTGTCATAAGACGTTAGTATTAGGCCTATTTAATTTTTAAACACTACATTCTTAATCTAATCCCTTAGGGATTTTCAAGAATAGTAATAGCATTCCAACCACACTGTCATATCCATTGCCTACATCAACTTTCGTTCAATCCAGAGCTCTTCAAGCTAGTTTGGATACTCACACAGCAGTGGTCAGAACACTATTTATATAAGCCATTTGATACAGCAGCATTTGTTATGGTATGTATGATTTTTATAAGCCAGCAATGAATGATTACAATTTTATTTATCATAAGACATTATGTTAGGCAGTCTTATAGGCCCTACCCATTTACTGTAAGGGAAATCAGTGTAACTGAGAATACCAAAACAGTAGATATTCCACGTGACAGGCCCGTACACAGAATGTTTGAAAGGGGGTTATAGTTTGTGAGATCAAAAGTCAACACATTTTGTGCAAAGCACAATCAGCATGCTAATACTTCAGGGCTTGGGGGCATGCCCCCCCCCCTAGAACATTTTTAAAAAATAGATGCTATAAGATTAAATCTGGAAGTGGAAATAATTTTGTGTGAAATCTAGCTTAAACAATTGCATGGCTGTTCACATAAATCCACAAACATCCAAAACTTTAAATACCATAAATAGGTGCACTATTATTATGTAAGCCTAACTTTTTTACATCACAAAATAGGAGATTCAGCCAAACCCCCCTTCGTACATACGTGATGTGAGGTCTAATTACTGATTTTTATAGAAATAATTGCATCTTTCTACTTTTAATCAATATATCTATAAATACACCCAAAAATTCTACTAATAATAGAGCACTGCTTTGATGGTGCGAGTTACTTATTTATCGCTCGTGCTGTTAAGTTGGCTTCCATCTATATTAAATGTGTGATCCAAGTTATGATGGTAACCTAAATGCATTATTTTATACTTAAGGTCATTTGCCAAACAGCTTATATGATTATCCAAGTCCAATTATTAATCAGTAACTTTTTCATTATTCCATAAATACTTGCTACTAGTTAGTTTTATCCTAAGTTTCGGCTGCTAATCTGCTGCCATCTTCTGTGAAGTCCTGAGAAGGACTATTTTCTGTGTTGGTTATGACTGGGATTGAATAATCTCCAGC